AGGTAGAATTTAACTGAAGAATATATTCTTAAAAAATTCAATACCCTTTTAATAACAATTAGTAAAAAAATTTACTAACGCAACCAATACAGAATTGCCTCTGCCCCATGCTCCTTTGGAGTTACGCACACAGATTAAATACCAGTTTTTTCGTTCTACGATTCCATTTATTGAATATAAATTTTAGCGTCCCTTCAAGCGGACTTAACTCAGGCGCATGCTGAAAAGGCGTCTTTAGAAGAAGAGTTGGCGAACGCTCGCCTCGCTATTGAGCGGAACCAGAGGCAAGCTAAACACGAAGCCAATCGACTTAATTCTGAGGTAAGAAGTCTCTGGTTTATTTAATAAGATTTAATTTGAAATGTTTTATTTTCATTGAAGAATACAATCCCTTAATTTCTTTGTGTTTTTTAACAACGTAAGTTAGTACAAGTAGCGTAGCTTCAAATGTATCAGGACAATTAATTTCACCTTCAATTTCACTTATATTCTTATTTTCTTAACAGAGCGTCTGAAAATGGAGTTTTTTTGTGAACAGATTCATTTATTCCTTACAAACTGCTCATAATCGTGACGTACAGGCACACTAAGTATTTAACCCTCGTCAAAAAGGAGTGGAAAACTCCATGAAGTTAAAAAATTTCAGATACAATCTCTTCGTCATCGGCTAGACCGTTCTGATGCTGATCTGGTTCATTCACGCCGAGAAAACCTTCGGCTCTCAGAACAAATTTCAACATTGGAAAAAGAGGTAACGATCATTATGTTTTCATGCTAGCATAAATATTCTTTGATATAAAAATCACATTAAGGTATAACTTTTCGCAGATAAACATGAAATCTCTAACCCCAATGACACCAGAAAAGAAGAAGAAAGAAAGGGAGTTGTCAACAGCGCTTGAATCGATGGAAAATAAACACGGTTAGTTCTAGTCCAAGTTAAAATAACTCCTAAAGCGCAAATGTGTCGTCCTTTGTCCTTGTCTCATCATGGGTAAATTATTGATGTCTTGAACTAGCGGTTTAACAAAACAGCTTAAAACATTAATACTTTACCCTTTCATTGCTTGCATGGATAGGTAGTTTGAAAGGGCTTTACAATTGGTCTAAAACTTCAATAGTTTGTTCATCAGATTGTTTGCTGGAGGATATACCTAACTTATCTATTTCCACTTTATTATCTATTGGGTGAAGTTTAAACCTTACTTCTATTACATCTCTATCTACATTTGCAGTCTCTATGACTAGACGTTCTCAATTTAAGGCATAGAAAAAGTTTTCAGTAAAAATAACATCTATAGGTAGTTCATTTGGTTCCACAGCTAAAACGGTGGCTGAGTTGGAGTCCATGATACAATCACAAAACAGTCTGATGGAGAAACTCACCAGCGAATGTCGTTTGCTTACCGACAAGCTTGACGACGCAAACCGTAGACATAAGTACGAAACATTTTAAAATTTCTTTGCATGATATTTACTTCTGCACTTGTTAAAAACTTATTTTTCTAAAACGACTGTGATCATTGCCCATTAAAACATAATTGTTATTAATAGAAACAATAATTATTTGTTGCATGTATGTGTAAAGTTTGGGCTTTATGTTACTTATTATATACATTGAAATTAGACTTTCCTAACATCACGTTGTGTTTTTATTGGTAACAGGCAGAGCGCAGAGACGCAGCCGTGTAGACGAACCAATCAGAACACAACGCGATCGATCAAGTTCAGGAGACCAGCCTATCACGAACCACCGGAAGCGCCGCGTAAAAGAGTCCGATTCGTCGAATAACTACCCAATTATTGTTGGCCCGCTGACGACAAATCAGGATCTCTCGAATGCTAACGGTGAAAAGATTTATAATCTACCGCTAATGATTCAACAGCCCTTTTTACGAGAGAAAAAGGAGCCAATTAAAGTTGATATAAGCGTGAAACTCATTCCAAAACCAAAGAAAAAAGATCGAAAGAGACGTGATTCGCAAATTGACATACATGATGGTAAAGGCGTTAAGAATAGTCTTAGTATGGAAGTAGTTGATAATACGGTACACGTTGTAAAAGAAACAGTTGAAGTATACGATGACGCAAATAAAGAAACTACTGCTGCCGCAAAATGCAAGGAGAAACCTGACAACAATAGTCAAGAACCAAAAGTTACACAAGACGGTCTTAAATCCGAACCAAAACATGAGCAAGATGCTGCAATTGATACAGATAAAGATGAACTACATATTAATTTACCTAAATCACCCGAAATCGAAGAAACGCACAAAGAAGATTTTACAACTAACGCCGAAACCCCTGACGAACTAGATAAATAATTTTAAATTTTATGGAACTTAAAAAATATAGCCATATATATTGCTTTCTTTGTATTGTTATTTTTTAATATTAATTTATAAACGTTAAATTTTATATCAACAAATATTATATTGTTGTTTTAACTTATTTTGCTATAACTTTCATGCAAAAATATATAATTGTTCATACTTATATTATGTTAAACTTTTTAGGTATTTGTTTTGTTAGATGAGTATAATTAATGTAGGTAAATAAGATAATCTAGATTTTATTACTTAAAGATTATTCATTTATTGCCGATGTTAGTTTATTATTAGTGTCTTGTTACGAAAGTATTTTAAAGTTGTATGTTTTACTAACAATTATTTTTTAAATATATTTGATGTTTTATAATAACTGTTTTAATGGGCAATGTAAAGAAATAATAAATGTATCATATGCTTAATTTTTTGTAAAGTTTTTATTTACACATTCATTCATATTAGAAAATTTCTTTCAGAGTCGAAAAGACACAGTTGCTTTTCAGGAACACTGAACTTATGAGAAAACTTAGACACTTGTGGTCTTCTCATAAGAAATATTGCACTACGATAGCACCATTCAGAAGCTACACTCCACTAAGTGGTTACCCCGCTAGCTCAGACTTAGACCGCACTTATTTGACATCTACTCCCTTCACAAATAGATATAGATTCAGAAGAATCGAGGGGTCTAACTATTCTGGTAGTGCTAAAGATTTTGATGAATTAAGCAAAAATCTAAGCGACATTTCACTAGATAGATTCGATTCTGATGAAGACCCTGATAAGGTAAGAGGTAATTCAAATCGAAAATTTTGATTGTAGTATGAAAAGCATGTACAGTAGTCGCCTGAAGCATGTTATATGTAAGTAGATTTTATGCTGTTTGTTATATTTTAGTGAAATTCAATTTAACAATAATAAAAAAAACATTTATAATACTAATGTGTTTTACAATATTTATAATATCAAGTTGCCTATAAATATATGTTCGCAAGGTTTTTTACATATTTAAGAGCTGGTACCTAATCCTATTAGGGTTTCTACAACAATTGTTATCTCAGGATGCTAGGATACTTGTGAATATTTTATGTGCACGTGTGTGTGTTGTGTGTTATCACATTTGTTTATATCTAGGCAAGAGCTGGGCACTTTGCAGCGTCAAGTAGAGAAGCTGGGTCGCTCCATGCAAACGACGTACGCGCACCATCCTAGCACACAAGGTATGAAAAATATATTTTATGAGACATCGATTGAGCACCAGTTAAATAAAATAAAAAGTGGACTTATTATTATTATTGACTTTATTATGTTTATTAATACAATCATCATTTATTGTTTCTTTATAAAAATACCTCAATAATTGTTCTGTTGACTATCCTAATTTATGTAATTACATTTCAGCACCTTCCTCGCACACTACCACACCCGACAGAATACCAAACCCTACGACCCCAACCAGATCAAACGATACCAGAGCTGAGCCCGCCAGAGAGTCCCCACTCCGAGAAGATCCTACACCCAGCCTCGGATATGAACCAGAATCTGTAATTCAACAAAAATTAGAACTAACAAAACCTACTGAAAATACAGAAATAGAACCAAAGCGAATATTAAGCAAACAAAGTTCGCACGAATCGAATAATGGAAAGTCATTACATTCGTCAAACGATTCAATACCGCCTGAACCTGAACACCCTTTAAATACACAAGTAACAGAAGTAGATCCTAAAACAGAGTATAACTCTAATGTTGTTGAAGAAGCAAGATTAAATTACCCAGAAGAAAATCTGAGCGCAAATATTGTCGAAGAAACAAATTATGATCAATTAGAACACAGTGCAAATGTTGAAGAAACAAATAACGATCAACCACAAGAAACAGAAGAGAAAGATGAAAACTCAGCACAAAATTACGAGCAAGGTTATCAAAACTATGAACAAAATTATCAAAACCAACCAGGTACAGAATATCAAGGATATGACCAACAGTATTCAGAACAACAATATGAAAATTACGAACAATACCCACAACAATATAACGATCCCAATGCACAATACGACAATCAATTTGATTATGGTAGTGAAACTAATTACCAACAGAATTATGATCAGCAATATAACCAAGAATATAACCCACAGTATGAACAAAATGTAGTTCAAGAAAATGTTGAAACGACTCCACAGTCAAACGGAAATGATGGCCAAAGTGCACAAAGCTAGCAATAGTTGGTACCTACTATGAAATGATTACTCGTAAATTATATTAAATTTGGATATGCGAGAATATATCTCCGGTATCAATTTAATTTTAAAATAAATATTTTATTTCTGCCAAATAATGACTCTATTGTACGATGGCCTAAGCATTAGCCATCCAGTTTATTAAATATTGTAACAAACGCTACGGCTGAATATCTATCAGTCCGCTAGTAAAAAGCGCCGTTTAGTTAAAAGCCTAGGCTGTTAATTGTACGGCTAATTAAGCTGCGACATATATAATAATTCTAGTAAGTTTATAAAATATTCAGTTGACTTATGGTTTAACTAAATTTAATTTTAATACGAAACTACGGTTAGAAGTTATTTTTATGTGCAATATATTAATTTTAAATGCTTTAGTTAGTTCAGCTTATTTATATTGTGATCAAGATTAACGTAACACCAGATTTAAGTCCTCTGTGAATGTATGTACAAGACAACTAGACAAATCCTAAGAAATAATAATGTATTTCGCATATTAAAAAAAAACTTACTGTGTCAAACATGCCACAAATGATAATCGGTTAGTTGTTCCTAGTTGATTAAGCATTTGTATTTTTAATTAACCTACTATCAATAGCAGTTACACTTAACTATGGGACTGTTACACAGATAGAATATAACTAAATATTCTTGGATTACTTAATGGACTTAATTGGTTATCTTGGGAGCTCATAACAATCAGTTAGATTCACTGTTACATAATTCATTACAATAAATTCACATTGTTATTGCTCAATTTAGAATTGAAAGTAAATTTGAAATAATATTGGCTTTTTATTTCTCACTGCAGTGTAACCTGCGCAGTATAGGTATTACTGGTTTGCGAAGCTTGATCCTAATTACATTTTAAAAGCAGTTGTAAGTACGATAATTGCATAGACTTGAATCAAACGCAGGATCTTCTATTCACGGGCTTAGTTAACTTCTATTCAACGTAAGCTGTTGGAACCGAATCAACAATTTTAAGTCCCTACTTTAGGGCATGTTGGCCGCCTCAGTGGCCAACGGACATTGCAATTTGGTTCGATTCCTGAAGTAACAATCGTTGTTTCGGTTTGATTGAAGTACAAGAGGCTAAAGAGATAAGAATAGTAAATTATTCAAACATGTGTCTGCCCCATATCTTAACGCTATAATATAAAGTGGGTGCCATTAGCAAGCACAAATATTACTTAGAGAAAGACGTATTCTCGCGAATCCGCGCGCATTCGTGCAGTTTCTCTTTATTTGTGAAGAATTTGAAGCTTCGACTCTGCTCTAGTATAAATTTAGCCTTAGTAGTGAAGAATTTGACGCTTGGATGCGCTAGTATAAATTGCCCCTAATCCAAAAATTATAGTAACTAACATTCCAAAAATAATGCCAGTGATTCAATAGCACTACTGTTCATGCCCATTACTACACGTAAAAGAGTGCGCGCGTATTCTCGTAGATCCGCGACTCTGCGCTAGTGTAAATTGACCCTTAGCGATAAGGGTGAGATTTAGAAATGAAACTAAGGGCGAACTATGATTCCCACGTAAAGAAAATTACCTTCAAATAACATGAGAAATTATGTATAATCGACGAAAGTAGTTAAGCGAATGTAACGATATCATAATACAGTAAAATACCAGGTAATACAAAATAAATAATATTTAATGACTATACCTCCTGTAAAAAGAACAAATACAGACTGTAAAAGTAACAATTTAGACTAGCTTAGAGAAAGTAATTGGTATAAAATACAAAAACAAATATAAAATAAAATAAAAAAGCCTTTTATTTCCAGTATTATATAAGTTTACACTTCTTACAATTTATTTTTAGTGTTAGTTCATGTTATTAATCTAATTAGTTAAAAATATAACATATATATTCCTTTTAAATACTTAATCTACTGGAACCCCAAGTTGGGTGTAGGCCTCCTCCAGTGAGCCCATTTATCTCTTCCTCGGCACTTCACTCCAATTTCGACCAGCTATCGCTTTAATGTCGTCTTCCCATCGCGTAATAGGTCTACCTTTTGTTCTTTTGCCTAGTGGGCCTTTCCAGAAAGTTACTTTTTTAGTCCATCTATGATCAGTTAGCCGGGCAACATGTCCTGCCCACTTCCATTTCAGTTTTTTTGCGTAGCTTACAGCGTTTGTTGCTTTGGTTATTTTTCTTATTTTAGTATGACGTATTTTATCTGATTTTCTGATCTTTAGCATACTTCTTTCGAGTCCTCTCTGACAGACGATTATCTTTTTTCTTGTTTCAGCAGTGAATTTCCACGTTTGGCAACCATATGTCAAACAAGGCAAGAGGCTTGAATTCATGACTTTGGTTTTAATGTCTTGTGGTAGATCACCTTTAAAAATTTCCTTGAGACCCCAAAATTTGTTCCATGTTAATTTTATTCTTTTCTCTATTTCAGTATTTTTATTTTTCCTGTGAAAACTTATGGTTTTTCCCAGATAGACATAATCTTCAACGTATTCCAATGGTTTGTTATTGATTGTTATTGGTCTTTGAGAGCTGTTTGTCATTGTCTTAGTTTTTGTAATGTTCATCTCTAGGCCTACTTTTCCACTAGCTTGGTTCAGGGTTTCTACCATGCGCTGTAGTTGGGAAGATGACTCGGAAAACAGTGCTAGGTCATCCGCGAATCTCAGGTGACTCAAGTAAGTACCGTTTATGTATAGACCTTGTTTACTCCAATCTAGCTTGCTAATGATCGACTCAAGAACAGCTATGAATATTGTTGGAGACAGCGGGTCCCCTTGTCTCACTCCTCGTTCTATTGGAAAACTAGGGCCTAATGTTTCAAGCTTAATTTTACCTTTATTGTTTTTGTATATGGATTTGATGATTTTTATATATATTTCCTCTACTCCCTGTTCTTTCAAGCTTTCCCAGATGCTGTTATGTCTTACTGTATCAAAGGCTTTTTGGTAGTCTATGAATGATATATAGAGTGTTCTTTGTTTTTCCTGATACTTTTCCATTATCAACTCAAGGGTATGGATGTGGTCGACTGTTGAAAAGCCCCTTCTGAAGCCTGCTTGCTCCACTGGCTGTTTTTTTTCCAATGTGTCTCTAATCCTTATGTTTATAATTGTGGAGAAAAGTTTATATAGACTCGGCAGCAAGCTGATTGGTCGGTAGTTTCCGATATCCTTCGGGTCGCCTTTTTTGTAAATTAGTATGATGTTGGATTTGGACCGTTGGGAAGGTGTTTCCGACTCTTGCAAGATCTTGTTAAACAGTTCCGCTAACGGCAGTGCTAAAGTTTTGTGTCCAATTTTTAGTGTTTCGTTCGTAATATTATCTGAACCAGGGCTTTTATCTAGTTTCAGTTTCTTTATTGCTTCAATTATTTCTGTTGCGTCTATGAGTTTAACGTTATTTCTAGGTGTAGCATCTGTTTCTGTGAAATTAAATGATTTCGTGTCTCTGTTTCTGTAAAGATGTCTATAAAATTCTGTTGCGTAGATATGATGTCGCCTCTATGTACATTTTGTATCTTTTTCCTCAGTCCTTCTATCCATGATGTATTATTTTTGAGCTTCTTATAGGCCTTCTTTGTACTTCCATTTTTTGAATGTTCTTTTATTGTGTCTTTCCTATATTTTTGTAGTCTGCTTTTATATACTTATTGATACTTTGTATATTGGGAAATTCATTTTCTGACTTCGTGATTTGTTTTTAGTTTTCTGTAGTTCCTTCCTTCTTTTTATAGCCTTACTGTACTTGCCGATAGTATTTTATGTTGTTTATTTTCTTCTCTCTTTGGGCGAGCTTGTTTCAACTAAAAGTGATAGCCTTTTCTATCATGTCGTAGCAGTATTGTACCGTGGTGTTTTCGCAGGTAGTTGTAGATAGCTGTGATATTAGGTTTTCGTTGAACTTACTTATTTCCTCTTCGCTCTTTAATTTGCTATTTTGGCTGTTTGTAAACTTGGCTCTTGATATTTTTGTTTGTTTAGTGTTATTGTTGATTGACTATTCTTTGATCGGAATTGTAGTTCAGATTGAGCGTCTCGATGTTTTGGAATATTCCATTTGGTTAGACAAGATAAAATCGATTTCGTTTCTGTATTGTCCGTTAGGAGATCGCCAGGTCCATCTTTTGCTCTGTCTTTTTTTAAAACATGTGTTTATTATCATTAATTTGTGTTGGAGGCAAACTTTACTAGTCTTTGTCCTTTTTCGTTTCTCTCGCCGTATCCATGTTTTTAGTAACTAAATATTCGTCAGCTTTGGGGTTCCAAGCTTGGCGTTGAAGTCTCCATTAATATTTGGTTTTTGCGCTGTGCCCAAGGCTTTCTCAACTTAGTGTAAATTCTTCTATATCAAGGTCGCTTGCCGTTCTGTTGGTGATAAATTGAATGTATTTTATGTCCTTATATTTATTTTAGTGTTGCCATGTTGTATCCATTGAAGCTTATTATGTGTTTTTGAGAGACTTATTTATAATAAGCAATCCATGTTTGCCAGGGTTTGCCCTATTAGACAGTATAAAATTTTCTATCTTCTATTTTATTTCCATGTCTTCTCATTTCAGATATTCCGATGATATGTATTTAATATTTCTTATAGCCTCTTCAAACTCGAGCAAACGGTCATACGATGAGAGGGTTCGGACTGTATGTTGCAATCATTAGTTTGTTTTTATGCAAGGCGCCTCCCGCTCCGTTGGTGTGATCATTGAGGGTTTTGGTCATACTTGTGTTGCTGTTAAGTGTTGCTAATGTGTTGCTATATGTATCTTGTTGGATGGAGGGTTTTGGTCGCATTCCCCACGGGGACACCGGATTGGGGAGTAATCTGTCGTTATTGTTCTGTTTATATTGTCGTGCTTTTTCCTGGTTCTGTTGCGTGTGTAAGTTTTATTGATTGTTTGTTCTGCCAGTATTGGAAGTGAGTTTGCTCTTGAACGAATTTTGTGGGTGTGACTTACTAATTGTAGGTGCCGATGTTTCTGTGTTTATGCTGCCTTACCATTATCTGAAGATGACCTTCTTCTTTGGCATCTGTTGTACCTTTTTCTTGTATTATTAGTTTGTCATATCTATAAAAGCTAGTTTCCCATCCTTTTCTGCCTTAATTTTCATTTGTTTTAACTCTTTACGTTTGATTAGAACTTCCTTTGGATAGTCTTCCGTAGCATATATTATGTTAGAAGGAAAGTAGTGGTTGTTCTTTAGAGTTCATACTTCCGCCATGCTAGAGTGAGTGTTATAAGTATTGGTCTTTTTACTTCCATCTTCTTGCGAGCCTTCTTAGGTTGCTGAGTTCCCACTGGTCCCATTCCGCGTTTCTTTACTTTTTCGATAATTTCGTTTAGTATCTCTAGTACGTTTTCATGAGATATTCGTGTTTGTTTCGGTTTCAGCTACGCTATGAAGTATAATGTTGTTTTTCTTGTAGTTCTCTCTAGATCCCGAACTCGTGTCTGAAGAGTTTTAACCTAAAACTAGGTTTTTGTTTTCTTCTCTCATTGGTTTTAGTTTTTCGTCAATAACATTTATCAGGTTCCTGTTAAATTTTTCTGCCAATTTCAGTTTGTTTTTTAAAATAATTTTCATTTCTTCATTTTCCAATATTAATTTTACTTGAAGATCCATTGTATTTTTGTTTCTCTGTTTTTGGTGGTTTTCTAGTATTTTTTTATATATATACTTATCTTTATTTTCACAACTACTCATTTATGAATTTTCTATGGGGAAATTTTAATTTTTGAGTTGGCAACTCTTTTTATTGTTGTCTTGTTATGATAGATGTCAAAGTGTTAAAATATGATGAGTCACTTAATTACGTGTTAATTATTACTTTCATAAAACTGTACCGATTCACTATGTTGTGGAAATAACATTAAATGTTGAAACGTGACTTTGACATCAGTTCAATTCCAATTGGGAAAAGAAGAAAAATTAATACTAAATAACAATGTTGATACGCTTTTAGGTGTTTTCTTGTTGATTTAATCTTGAAACAAATATTGATACTGATTTTGATGTCCACAGTTATTAGTTGTTTTTCACTCACTTTTAGCACTTATCATTCTATAAATATTTTTTATTCAATGATTTGTAGCAGAGTAGTTTTGCGTATGTTGTACTTTTGACAGCCGGACGCCATTTTCAAAAAAAAAATATAAATCAAAAACAAATATACTCTATTAAAATAAACTTTCGAACTTATTGAGTGGTTTGAAGCCTATTAATTATTGTTTTGCCAAAAATTTAATCCAGAAAGACTTATTCTTTTGGCTAGATTAAAAATGTATGAATTGAAATCACATTAATTTACTAGGAACAGGATTTTTAGATATAGAGGAATTAACACAGCCAAAGTTAATTAATAAATATATTAATAACATATACTATTAACAGTTATTATATTATATATTAACAGATTGTAATTAAGCCTCTATTTTGTCCTCACTGAACTGAGATGATATCCAAGTCAGTGCCCACTTCAAATTAGTTAACATGTATTTGAGTGCTTTGGTCCAATGCTCCTCAGAATTAAACTGGATTTTAATTGAATAAGCATGTGGTGGTGATGCAGTGTCTTCTATTTTTCCTTTATCTATTCTGTAGGGCAAGCAAAACCCTGTATTACCCTTTTCAACTTGTTCTTTAAACTGCTGGAGACAGTCCAAAAAGGCCACCATAGCAGCATCAAATTTCGTGTCCCACAAAAGCCGGAAGCCGCCAGAACCATACAATGGTAATACCTTCTGATCCTCCAAAACTTCAATGTATGAATGGTTTCCATATGGTACTAGTCTGTAGCGTTGAAAGCAGAAGTTTATTTTTCTTGCCAATGACGATAAAAGTAACACAGTTTGTCCCCATGCTGCATTGATTTCTGACCAGTCAACTGGTGCGGTTGGTAGTCGACCTAGCCTAAAATTATTTATTATTCCAAATTGTCCTGAATCCGATATATGAAAGGTTGCCTTAAATATGTTTGTTTTCTTTAGTTTTTCAAGCTGTGTTTGGGTGTATGCTAGTTGACACTCATAAAATTTCATTTGATCCTCTGTTGTCATTAAATCTTTACGGTATCTTGTGTACTCTTTCCAATAAATATCTTGTTCTACTTCTAAGCGCTCTTTTTCCTTCTCTTGTACCTCGATTTCATCTTTCATTGCCTTTTCTTCCTTTTGTAATGCAGATAATTCCTGTAAAAGCCTTTCTTCTTCTTGTTTCCAATCTTGCAACTCTTTTTCAAGTCCTTCTAAATTCAAGTCTTCTTTGTCATCTTCTAGCTTTTTTAAATAGTCGTTATAGTCTTTCCATTCTGCCTCTGTTATTTTTAGCTGATTGTCCATTAACTCTAAGAGTGTATCAGTACATTCATCACATAAAGGGTGGTCAACATCAGAATTGTTTGACAGTAGATCAAAGAGTGTGGCCTTCACATGTAACTGATGACCTAAAGATGTGGTTTCCCAGCCATCTGATATGACCATAAACCCATTTGCTCCATTTCCTGAATCAAGCATACGAAAAGGTGGGACATAGTGTTCTAGACTAGAAGATTGCAAATCAAGATCGGCCTCATTATTACGACGGATCTGTAGTGTCAGGTCAGCAATAGTGTGTTCTCCAAGATTGTTTAAAGATTCATCTAGCTTAAGTGGCTGTAAACATCGCTGACACGAAAAACTTACGTACGACTTAGAATCACTCATGGTAATTATTGTGTAATATACTAGATATACAAGAAATCAACAAACTACGACCATAGAAAGGAGAGATATATACAAGTTCATTTCACAAAATAATATTTGTTCCAGTTTTTACCTATTTATCCAACGTAATCGCAGTTTTAAAATTTGAAACAAAGACTTCGTAGTTCGTATAAAAAGAAAATATTTTGGTTTTGTAACATTGACAATTGACATTCAAATTATCCACTGTATTTTTAATTGACAAACACCAAGTACTCAAAGTCTAACACATGACACATCCCACTTTGCCAGAAGGAGAAAAAAATGACTGACACATCCGACTTTGTAGATATGTAAATCATCACAGATAGATGGTGTGTGATGTGTTAGTACTACATTATTATACAATTTTGTTTGGCATTATGTAGTTGGTTACGCCTGTCGAAAAGTGGTTTTATCTCAAGGCTCAATTGGTAGTTCAGTCATTTGTTGCTCTATTATTATTTTAGACTTAAAGTATGACTAAAAAGAAATAAAACATCAATAATTTAAAAAAAAACCTTAGTACAGTTGACTCTCAATAGATGGAGCTTAATGGTAGACTCTTAAGCCTATTCCTATTATACTGTCAACTGTCAACAGGTGGCTTAGTTTAGTCAAGATGCCTTAACCGTAGTGTATACACGTAGAAAGTAAAATCGCCAGAGCCCTTACTCTGGATCTTCCAATAGCGATACTGAACTCAATAATGAACATTTGCACTGCGCGATCCCAAGGTTTCGAAATCAACGCTACGCATATTAACAGAACTACATCGAAGTTGCATACAAAATTGCGTATCGCTATGCGATCACAAGCGGACAACAGCTATAGAGAAAGAGACATTATTCTGTAGAGAATTTTATTGTTTTTTTATCTTGTAATGTAGAAATAAAAATCTAATATTATGTTAATTGTTTTAATTCGTAGACTAGAATACAATGAAAATTAATAGCACCTATTCAACATACCTAGAGGATACATAAAATATTGTTCATAATACTGATAATGCAATTTACAGCGAGAGAATATTTAAGTATTCTACCAAATAAACATAGTTGTTATAACTAATAATTAAGGTAAAACATTTCTTATTATCTAAATTATAATAATAGGCATTTTAATAACTTTAATAGGAACAAAACAAATCTCTTACTATACATTGTTTCTAATTATTTTAATAATAGTCTATGCTTTTGGTCTGTCCAAAAAGAACATTTATCCTTTTATAAATGATCTGTGGTGGACCACACTAACATCGAATTATTATTATAAATTTATATCAATTTCGTAGCATTTTATTTACAGCATTTTTTATTTAATACTGATATTAATATACGAGGCGTATACCGATACTTGAGACTGAAATAATCTCTTCATTAGACAGGAAATATATACATATATACTTTTTATACATGTATTGGTGCATTTGCGACCCCGACTTCAATGTTGAATTTTTGTTTCGCGCGTTCCCAGACTAACGATATCAGCGCTACGGATATTGAGAGAACTAAATCAAGATGGCATACAAAGGAGTCGGGTCGTCGTGTCTATCGCTAAAACCTATTAGTCTTGTCTATACAGTCAAATATATTATCAATTTATCAATGGAAAGGATTGAAGCTATGCTTTTCTTTTATTTCAATGTTTCTCAAAACTACCTGGTTGGATTGGAAGTGTAAATGAAGTTGTATGATATTACAATATTGAGTTTTGGTACGTAATAGCACCAATACACCACCATACAATTCAGCAGCATCACCGCTTCGCATATTGTTAAACCATACGATTTCATTATAATAATTTAACCCCTCTAGACCGTTCCGGGCGATTTAAATCGGTTTTACAGAGTAACCCAACTTAGGTTTTTAAACTATTAAAATTTAAACATAATCTATGGCGTATTCCCGTGTAAATAATGTGTTGTATCCTGTATTTTATGGTAATAGGCGTTAGGTAGGAATGACTGCGCCCAACCGCCTTGCTGTGCTGGCACCAAAATTTCTCTGTAACAAAATTTTACAAGTTTTTAGAAGTTCTCGATACAATGCAACTAAATGCTGGAACAACCTGCCACTAATCCGTGACATCCAAGGCATTATGTCTTTAAAGATAAATTTTAACCCACTGAAGTATTTCAGAACGAATTCGACTTAGGGTCTTTCGAGAAAAAAGAGTACCAATTTCTTAAAGGCAACGCACTCGCAAGCCCTCTAGTAATGTCAGTACTCAGTGCCTATGTACTGTACGTTTGACCCCCTTTTCCATAAACAAAGATTATGAAGTCAATTGAATGTTATATATCTTTAAATCGGTACAGAACATATAATACTGAAGTTAGACAATAAATTAAGTAGGTACCCGAAACCGACATTTAAAGCCGACACTTCAGTCTTATCGAAAAAATAAACAATAGGTATAGTATGTAGCCCAAATATAATTATTTTTTACGAGCGCCGACATAAGACCGCCATTGTTTAGTTCAATCAAGGTCAAGAGTCGACTTTATTATTAACAAGTGTTAAATATCGAATCTAGTTAGAATTATTCGAAAACCAATTAGTCTGACATTACCTAAGCTCGTAATTTATTTATTTTGCTTACTAATGGGGGTTCGACGATTTCTGGCCTTAACCGCATAGTAGTTTTAACAGAACGCGGCCGCCCCCATTTTTTCTGCTGTTCGATAGACGAAATGTTGTATCTGTTGATAGTACGACATACGAACATACGGCTGATAACGTCTTATATCTCTGAGGTCGTAGATTCGAACCCAAGCTGTGGACTTTCTATGTGCGCATTTAACAATCGCTCAAACGGTGATGGAAAACATCGTCAGGAAACCGGCTTGCCTTAGACCCACAAATTTAACGACGTGTGTCAGGCACAAAAGGCTCATCACCTACTTGCCAAAACAAACGATCATGAAACAGATACAGAAATCTGAACCCCAGACCTAATGTTTGTTCTAATTTTATATATATATATATATATGTTTATTTTTATATTTATATATATATATATATATATATATATATCACGTAATAGTGCGTTTATAAATCATGCCCAATAAATGTACCTTTAAGCTTAGTAGAATAACGATTATGATTAGATTATAACTTTTATTTAGGCCATTTTGCATTTATAACTGATGTATTATTATTAATTCATAAAAGAATAATATATAAAACTAGCTGACCCGACAAACGTTATTTTGCCATGTATATTATCTCTAGGAAACATTGTTTTAGTTCAATAAAAATAACTATCTGCTATAATAAAAAATAGGGGTGAAAATTAAGGGTTGTATTTATTTTTGTATGTTGTATCATAAAAAAAAAAAAAAAAAAAAAAAAATTTGGTTTGGGGTGGATACCCCTTAACACTTAAGGGTTGGAAAGATAGATAGTAGCCGATTCTCAGACTTACTGAATATGCATAAAATTTTCATAAGAATCGGTCTAGCCGTTTCGGAGGAGTATGGGAACGTACATTGTGACACGAGAATTGTTTATATAGAGATAATCATCATTAAGAAGAACAACTAAGGTGACAGATATTACAATAAAAATAAACTTAAGTGGAAATGGGCGGCATGTGCAAGAGGATCCAAAAAGTGGAGCAAGAAAGTACTAAACTGTTACCCAAGGTACAATAGACGAAAAAGAGGAAGACAATTAAGAAGGTGGATAGACTACATCAAGGGAACAGCGGGTGGTACATGGCAGAGAGTAGCACAGTGCAGTGAAGGAATTTGGAGGTGGCCTTTGCCAAAAAAAGGCACACAGATACCTAAAAGAAGGAGATAGAAATATAAATGTGTTTGATTGTAAAAGTATCTGAATCAAAGGCTTTTATTATTATTAAACGTAAAGCCAAAAGTTCTAGAGTTATTTCTCAAGTACTGTATTAAATACTTTTACTCCGGCGCCTTGACTGACTTGGCTTTAATAATAAATTCATAGAGAAATGGGTGGAAGTTGCTGTAGTCAAGTTGTACTTGTGTAAAGATAACGTTCTTAGTCAGAGACAATAAAAACATATTTTTTTGCAATAATATCATTGAATCGTCGATTTTAGTAATTAAGAAATAATAACTAGATAACCTAGGTTATTTATAAATAAATAAATAAACTATATAACCTGGTCCCAGTGGTTAAGTTAGGTTACATGATTTATAACTGCGTTGCAACTCTCAGCACTAATGAATATTTCTAGTGTAGTAGGAAACTGTTCTAACACGAAATCGTCTAGAAAAATCACGAAACACATGCCTTATGGAATAAAGTCACGTATTTTTTTATGATCAAGAAAAAGTTGGGCACATGTGTCCTTTTGTTATATTGATTAATGGTCACTAATGGTGCAGTGATTAGTAGGATTGCATTCAATGTGTGAACTGAGACATAAAAACTGCCCGCTACATATTAACTCAAAACTTCGAAAATGTATTCAGTTATTTTTGATGATTTTATGGTCTGGTAACCTTTAAACCAAGTCTTTCGGGCACTTATTTGTAATCGTGAAGTCGAGTTGGGTAGGCCTTGGAGATACCTGGACCAAAACCAGAAGGTACTAGAGAAGGAAAATGTTAATTTAAAAAAAATGTGCGTGCGTACAATGTACACATGTCAGAAGTGAAACTTCTTTGGCAAACTAATTTTTAACTCTTGTTCATATTTATACAAATCTAAAACTTTAGATTTCCGAGTCTAAGATGGAGGGTAAAAAGGAAGAAATGTTAGGAATTTAATTATCATTAAAATATTAAAACTGTCAAAAATTAATATGTACAAATAATAAATTTTATTTTTTGAATGTATTTTTTCGATAATGCCCAACCCTTTTTAATCAACACCAATTCAAAATACAAATTATCAATATTCAGTAATGTCCCATATAGCCAAACATGTTTTGTATAGCCACATATGGCCGATGTTGCCCCGAAATCTAAAATTAACAATATTGCAAGTCTCTTTTGTTTCAGTCACTCTTTTGTTATGGCATAGTGTATCCTTTTCTACCGACATGACGTTTGCTTTGAGTGAAGTGTGCTGTTGCTTTATTCTTGTTTTGCGATCAGTGTATTTACTTAGATTACACGTAAAATACTACTTTTGACATTCTAGTTCTTGAATAATTTATTATAAAGACTTATTTCTAGACTCAAATTGTCTACAGTTTCACGCCTATTTAAGTAAGGTCGAATCCACAATCTCTTCTTTTTTTTTTTTTTTAAAACAATATAAGCTGCTGCGACAAGTGTGATTTCGCAGCCATTGTTGCCGGTTTGTGTAGCCCGTTTAGGAGTCTGCATCATGGGCCATACTATTCAACACATTCAGCCAAGATTCGGCCTACTTTTTTTTGTATGCCGCAATTATGCCAACATACTCAATTGCACAAACATGGCCCGTTTAGACGCGCCATAACAAAAACACATGACATTTTAATTTCCAATTCGTCATTTGATTTCAATAAATTATTTTGCATAAAATATAAAATACTAATATTTCATAAATTCTCTCTACCAAATTTTAATTTTAAAAATAGTATTTCTATAAGGTAATTCACCCTTCTCACTCTCTCGCGCGGGCGGCTTTTTAATTTGTCATTGGCCACAGTGATTGGATCATCGGGATCCATTTGAACGCCTAATTCTAAGGTCGAAAAGTTGTATATTATACATATATCCTTAGCGGCCGCAATCACTTGACGTGACGTCATCATAGTGAGTTGTGAGCGCAGAAAGTCGTTAAAAGTCCATGAGTGCCATTTTAACGAGACTTTGCGCGAACAATAACTCCTGTATATAAAAAACCCGTTTTTGAGATACGCGATAAATAATTAACTCTCAGTATTAAAGATCCCTTAGACTCGCCTTCTTCTTCTTTTAAATCCTGGAGAATGGATAATGCCAACGTCACAGTTTGTGTGTGCAATAAAGTTTATAAATATATTAAATCTATAATTTATGAGTATTTAACGATACTTACGGTCTATTCGGTTGCTGTGGGGTTCTATCTCTTTGCCGGCGGTTTTTGAACCAATTCGACACTTGTGTCAATGTCAGACCCGTCTTTTGTGCTAGAGCGCGTTTCTCGTCGGGTGTGGGATACCTATGAAAACGTTCAAATACAATCGCTGATCCAATGTCTGTAAACTACTCAAACAGTCGATTTATTTAAATAATATAATTGGCATTTATATGCAATAAATTTTATTTGAACTCAAATTTAAAAAAAACGTGCTCATACAAAGGAATTTCAAAAGCGATAATATTTTCTTTAGTAGTCTAACTACTAAAGAAAATAATTATAATATATATTTTTTTAAAATCCCTTAGAGAGGGGATTGCCCACCCCCTTCGAGGAGGGCATGGCCTATGCCAGTAATAGGGATTTCCGTTAAATAATATGTAACTTAACTATTTGTAAGAACTTGTCATGCAAAACAACTAAAAAAATAACATTTTTAACCCACTCATAATAACAAAAACTTAATGTTTTTTTATTATACTTTTAAGTAAACTTAAAGGATATAACCGCGATTTTTTTACATTATTTTCGTTATAAGGTAAGCTTGGAGCTTTATAGTCGGGCACGTTAAAAATATGACGTAATAGATGATATTTTTTGCATCGTATAATACGCACCTATTTCTATAATAGCAATCTTTCAAAGCGTTTCTACTTTTCTCTTTAAAACAATAGACTGTCTCCTCTCCATCCCATATTGTCTTTGGTAGCGGATACTTTTTTCTTAATCTATATTTGTCTACGGCACCTATAAATATTTAAACATTAACATTTTATTGTATTAAAGTAACAGTAAAGCCTAGTTCAAAATATATACGTTGGAGTTGCTTTATTTTATACAATGTAGGAAATCAGCCAATAATTTGCATAATCAAACGCTTTTCAATCCTGTAAAACTGTATTTAAATTAAAAGCGCTGTAGGTATTTAGCCAAACAAAACTACTTATATTATAAGCAAGATGTTGGGCCTTCTATTATCTTATACCTAAACAATTATTTTACCGTCGGTAATCGAGCCAAAAAACACACTATTCGCTACCAAGTCAGCCACGAATCACGATATCGGGGAAATAAATCTTAAAAATCATAATGCACTCGTACGCATACCACAAATAAAAACAAGTCGATAAAAATAAAAGCTTACCTAAAGCCCGCCCGCGAACCTTTTCTGCCTCTTTATAATGGGCCTTGTACCACAGAGTCTGTAGCATTGAATGATGTTTTGGCGGGAATGTGTGTGTTTCCAAGATGGCGTACAACTCTTGATATACGCCTCTATGGTATGCTACCAAAGCGCGGGCCCTAAAATTTATTACATTTTTAAACATTCAATAAAATTCTGGTTTGAATATTAATCAGTATATACAATGAAGAAAGTGCTTATTTATTAACAAACTTACCGCAAAACAGTCTCATTTCCGCAGACAAGTTGGCTTTCGGGCAAACTCCATAAAAATGCCGCTAACTTTTCTATATCACCTTTTTGCTGTAGCGCCTCACACATACATTGCACTTGCTCGGGATTGAAATTTACTCGCTTCATTGCACCACTCTCGAAATAAGACAATCTCCCATCACTTGGTACGTTTTCAAAATGTTGATTATTTATCTCAATTTCTATTCCAGTCAAATTATTTTCGTTTTGAACGCATTTCTGTGTTTCGTTGAAATATGAACGCATTCGTTC